AAATCAGTGTATGCGCATAGACTCGCCGAGTCGCTATAGTGCACTCGCCGAGTCTAGTCAAAGTTGACCGTTGACCATTGACCAGTGTTGACCTATGTTGACTTGTTAAGGGATAGTCAACCTTAGTTGTGAAGTGTTATTTAGAGACGTATTATGTTATAGGAGGATTATAGATCGGGAGATCGAGCACGAGTGATTTCAGGGACTTACGAGTTACCGAGATACGCGAGGTGAGTCTTCTCACTATACTTTACCTTGAGTAGGTAACTAGAGTTATGTGATATAGTGCTTGTATGCTATATATGTGTTATGTGTTGCGCTGCATTATTCTTTGTGATTTATGTTGTGCATGTTTACAGAGTTAGAACCTGAGGGTTCATAGAGTTTGGGTGCACGGACCCACAGAGTTATAGCCTCGAGTTGATAATATGTGTTGTATGTGGTATTTTGGGGAACTCACTAAGATTTCTACTTACAGTGTTTGGTGTTATTTGTTTCATGTACTAGTGACGACCGTGGGAAGGTGCCAGCTTGATCAGTACACACGCATGGGATTTTATGATTTTGAGATCTTAGGATATTTGTATTACTTGGATTGAGTTTCAAACTTGGTTGTTTTATGAATATTAAGTGAATTATGTTTTATAAAAAAAATTGAAAATTTTGTTTTGAAATCTACGGTGTTACACACACACACACACACACACACACACTCTCTCTCTCTCTCTATCTCTCTCGCTCGCTCTCTCTCTCTCTCTCTCTCTCTCTCTCTCTCTCTCTCTCTCTCTCGCGCGCGCGCGCGTTCCAGACTCGATTTCCCCATCATCATCTTCTTCTTTATCATTAGCTCATAACGTAACCATCATGAGCCACTATCACCACCGATCTCTAGATTCTTACTCCACAGGTCAATTCTGCAAACAACATCTACAAACAAGATCTGGTTCAAGGTGGAAAAACCAAACGTTCAAATGGTGGAGAAATTGAGCATGTCAACTAGTTCAAGGTTAGATTTACGAACGAAGGTTGAGATTTACGAACCCATAAATTCGAATTTTACTTCACATTTTGCAAATCACTAGTATTGATTTCTCGATTCCAATCGTGTGCAGATGAATTTTCATTTTTGCAACTTGTTTTACAGTTTGTCAACACCGATTTAGAAGATGCTTAGTGTAAGATCTGGATGAGTTGGGCAAGAAAACTGACCGATTTGACATTTAAACTTGGTGATCCACCATTTTTTTTTCTTGATTCGAATGTCGATAAGGTTAGAAACGACAAATCCGGTGAAGATTCGAGTTTCAAATCATTGGTTCAGAAATGACAAACCCTAGACATTCTTCACCATCAACAACATAAATGGAATCTTCCATTCCTGGGATAATTTTTTGGGTGTGCGATGGAGAGGGGTGAACTCATGAATAAACCCATATTTTGTGTAAGGTTTTTGATTTTGGGATGATTTTTAGGTGTAGATGAAGTAGAAAAAAATTCAGGTGGAGATAGAGGTAGCAGATGGTGGTGGCAACAGTTTGTGGTGGTGATAGACATTGGTGGTGGCGGATGGTAGTCTAACGATGGTGGTTCTTCTTTTCAATTGATTTAACCTCTCGACTATGTGTAAAAAAAATCCTAGCACTGTCTACTCACTTCTAGAACTTTTTGATAGGAAAATATTATGGTTCTTCTTTTCATGGCTTATAAAATACTAAGTAAAAATGCAACCAAGTGTAATCATACTCTATGAATAATATCAAAATATTTATAAGTGTTCGGGATAATATCAATTCTTTTTTAGGACTATGTACTAAGTATTTAATTTCATTTTTCAGTAATGTGACTTTATGCTAAGGTTAAATTTTAGACTTGCAAACTTCATCATATCCATTCACAAGTACATAGCTTTAATATTTCACTTCCTACATACATTTCACATATACGTACATCCCTCCACATGCATACTTCAATTAGTCATAACATTTCCCACTATAGAATCACACTTTGCATTTCTTTCCTCTTTTGCATTGTCTTATCATTTTTACATATATTAATCAATAAATAGTATAGGTTTAAGTATCATACTATATCCCATTTTGAACTCCTTTTCTTAAGTATGTTTTCCTTAAGGCATCATACTTTAAGATTTGGATCTAAATTCATGTTTTCAATTTAATAACCATCCTCACTCTAACTGATATTGTAAGATAATTTAACATCTAGAATACTTCCAAACATAACATTTCATCATTCTCTTATCGTTAGTAAAATATGGGTGTTACAAAATACCCATCTCAAAAATATTATTATTATGTCCCATTTTAAACCCTCTTTCCTAAGTATGTTTTTATTAAGGCATCATACTTTAAGATTTGACTCTAACATCATGTTTTAGATTTAATAATCATCCCTACTTTAATTGATATTGTACGTTAATTTATCATTTAGCATACTTCCAAACATAACATTTCATCATTTTCTTATTGTTAGTAAAATAGGGGTGTTACAAAATACCCATCTTAAAAATATTATTATGTCCATCGAATCAGTTATGCAAAAGAACTGGGGATATTTTAATTTGAAACCTAGCTCTAAATCCTATGTCACGTCACCTGCTCTATGATGATGCCATTATATTTTCACCATGGCTACATCCTTGTTTCTTAGCTTTTTCACCTTTCTTTCTAGTAGGCTCTCGAGCTCTTCCATATGTTTCAACTTTTCATCAACTTGAATATTTGAACATAATATTTTTGGAATTTCTTTTAGAAGACTCTTGTAAAGATAGGAAACATATAAAAAATTATGTATTTTTTCTAATTCTTCAAGTAATTCTAACTTTTACACCACTGCTCCTACTTTTTTCAAGATTTTAAATGATCCAATAAATTTAGGAATATAATTTCTTCTTTTCCTAAAAAAAAAATAACATCCTTCAACAGGCTACTTTCACTATTATCATGTCTCCCCCTCATAACCCCGATAAATTCCTTTTATATTTACATATTATTCTAGTCTATTTTGTGAAGCATGCAAATGTTGTCGATTTTTTTTATCATATTCTCGATTTCTTGTAGTTGTTTGATGCCTACAGAAGGTCTTTCACCAACTTTCATCCAACACATGGAAGTTATACATGGTTTTACCTACAATGCTTCAAAGGTTTCCATATTAATGTTAGAATGATAGTTATTATCACATGCAAATTCTACTAGCATTATGTGCATTCAGCTTCCTCTAATAATCCACACTCTAAGCATATATTGAAGAGTTTGAGTGGTACTTCATTTTACCAATCTATTTGAGGATGATATACAATGTTAATGTAACAATTGAATTGGATATGTTTCCTTTTAGCCGTTTTTATTTAAATATTGCAATACGGTTAGTAAGTGGGGCGTACCATTGGGTACGCTTAGTATACTAGCTGAGAAGCTAGTACGCTTAGCGTACTAAGGGGGAGGTTTGATCGCAGAGTCGATCCTCGTACGTTGGGCTTACGAGGGTATAATGAAACCCTAATATTAGGGTGTTTCACTCTATATAACCTCCTTAAGTCTCTAGGGCTGGCCTCTTTACCATCCTTCATACCTCCTAAACCCTAAATTTCAACCCTAAGCCATCATTTTCTGTCTTTGAGCTCTTGAGAAGAAAGTCCGTGCTTATTTGCTCATTTTGAAGGGATAGAAGACGCTTGAAGGTTCATTGCTTAGTGTGAAGCTTAGAGATTGTTGGGCTTATTAATGTGTTGTGTCAATTGTATATGTTATTATAGTCTCATTTACAGCGGTTTGGGCCTATCCATAAGTGTTTTTACTTTCTAGGGTTATACTATTTAATGTGCATGCATGTAACAATTAGGGTTATCGATTGTATCGCCCTACTTAGATTTTACAGAGAAGTTCATGTTGAACTCTTCTAAAGCTATTCAATATAAGTATTCAACACTATTTGATCTTTATTTTTCTTTTTATTTATTCACATCATTTATAGAATCTATCGATCCAAGTAATTATTGTTTTCTACAATTGTAGAAAACAATAATTACTTAGATCAATATATTTATATAAACGATGTGAATAAATAACAAGAATAATGAAGATCAAATAGTGTCGAGTGCTTGTATTGGATAGCTTTAGAAGAGTTCAATGTGAACCTCTCTATAAAAGCTAGGTAAGATGATATAATTGATAACCCTAATTGTTACATGCATGCACATTAAATAGTCTAACCCCAGAATATTAAAACACGGATGGACATGCCCAAATCGGTGTAAATGCCAAACAATCTCCCCCTTCATGTCAAATTGTGAAGGATATTGTTCATTGTTGTTGCCTCATGTGAACCTTGAATAATTTCGGAATTAAACCTAGAAGAGTGTTTCTGACAATGATGTTCCACTTGATCATATCTGAGAAGCACTTCTGATTAGCACTATCATTCACTTTACAGGTTTCGATCAGATCGATGATGTAGTTCAGAGCATATGTTGAGTGTAAGTGTTTGTCTAGCAAGAAGAACATACACCTCTGAACCTTTTGATTAACCTTCCTTTGATATATGATGCTTCGGTTGTCCTTTTGAATTTTTCCTAGCTTCATATTGTTGAGGTCCTTCGATTCCTCTTCAAGTTTCTAAGTTGTCTTCTTTTTCAGAATAGATGCAATTTCCACATCCATCTTTGCGAACTCATGGATGTAGCAAACAAGCATCTTCTTCAGATGAGCTATGATTGGCTTGTATTTTTGTTCATCCTTTGATAGAATCAGAAACAAACAAATCCAATAGTATGGATTCATGCAAGGAAAATAAGCAAGTGAAAAATTATCTTCAACACGTTTTGTTCCTATGAATCCTTTGAATTTGACGTTTATGAAGTTTTCAGCCCAACGGGTGCATAAACCTTCACAAAAACAATCTTCTATAAACTCCATGATTTGTATTGAGGCTTTCCACAATTGAGATAGAAAGAGAAAAGCCTATTATTAACATCATAAATCCTAAAGCGGTGCTTTCTCAATATTCTCGAAGCATCTGAATAGAAAATCCCTAGGAGTGATTGGAAAGTTGAGCTGAGAGTCAACCTCTTTTCGAAGTTTTAGAATATCATCAAGCTCCTTGTATCGTTTCCTTCTCACAAGTTTTTCACATTCAGAAAATTCTTCCTCTTCTTCTTTATTGAACATAACTTTCTCTTTACCTTTAGATCCAGAAGCTTCGTTATCCTTTTGATCATTTGGATATTGTTTCGGTTTTTGCTCATTTTCATCAGTAGGTTCACCAGTATTTTGCTTGGGTTGTTCTTTATCATCTCCCCCTTGTTTCATAATAACATCACGTTCCAAAACACCCTCAAATATGTTCATTATAGAGAACACTTGCTTGAGTTTGTCTGCTAGATGTTGTCGTACCGAGACCGTAAGCAAGGAATCACGAGTCTCAACAATATTTTGTAGCTATTGATTGAACTCCGAAACACAGCTCTTCAGTACAGTTTTCTCTGATTCCAGATCCTCAAGATGCTTGTTGGCATAGGTCAACTTCACTAAAAGAAGTTTGGCTTTCTCAGTCTTTTGATACAATTTGTCCATGAGGTTGTTTTTTGTTGCAAGGTCGACCTGATGCTTTTCAGTCTTAGACTCAGTATCGATATTGAGCTCAGAGTTATCTACTTGGATTGTGGAGTGAACACGCGAAAGAGCTTCCTTCTTAGCATATAGTGTATAGCCAAGACCTGTAATGACTTTGTTGACTGATTCAGTGTTTTCATCGAAAGATTTCGGAAGTCAGCCATGAAATTTATCACATCATCATGTAGTTTTTCGACTTTTGCGATCGCCTCTGAAATGGTTGACTCTGATGCTTGGATATTTTTTGTAGCTTCATCAAGGACTTTTGCATTCTCTTTTGTAAGGATCTCAACTATTGTTCTGTGTGACTTGAGCATGAACTCATAGTTAGAAGAAGTGACTATGACTCCAAAATTGAATCCAACTTGGCACTGAGTCTGGGCTATGTCATCATCACCTTTTTGATGGATGGTAAAAGGGCCGAAATTAAAATCTTGAAATGCTTCCTGGTCATCACCAAAAATGATGTATGGATCGTCATCTCTAAAAGGTGAAGCTATAGATGTTCTTGGACCCTTAGTAACACCAAAATGGACATGTGCCCCCATATCAGATACGTTTACAGTAGTCATCAGAGTACTAACAGAGGTTGTTGTGGTGTAACAACGTAAATTTTAAAACAAATTTTTAATTTTTGCAAACATCAAAACCATCGTTTAATATTCCAAAATTCAAATGTGTAACAATGTTATCATGACAAAATACATCCGATGATCATAAAAATAGTTTCCTCCATCAGTGTGTACAATCACACCGGCGCCTTCCCACGGTACTCGCTAGTACCTGACATAACACAACAACTATAAGCATAAATGCTTAGTGACTTCCCGAAAACACTACTTACGCACATACGCCTTTCCAGGCCCTGACCTTCTGGTCCATGTGTCTCAGGGGACTTCTATCCCGACTCGGTAAACCTTCCGGTGCTACCTGCGTCAACCTTACGGTCCACATCACAACGCCTTCCAGCCCATAACATATATGCCTTACGGCCCATAACATAATGCCTTCCGGCCCATATCAAACATATCATACATAGCACATAATAACGATTAACTTATCATTTACAATGCATATAACACATAACATATCCGACCTTCCGGTCACACAATAAAAACCCTTCCAGGTACAGTATAGTGAGAAAACTCACCTCGTGGAAAGTCTAAGATCTCGCGTACTCGCTAACTCCAAATCCCAACGTCGATTCTACCTCGCCTAATCATAAAAAATATCATTTCAATAATTAAAGACTTCCACAACTAAACTTTACTCCTTATCATCATTCCTCAGAGGGTAAAAGACCATTTTACCCTTCCTTGACCCAAAGTCTTCATGTTGACCAAAACCCTAAAAGTCATCAAAAGTCAACCTTTTGAGTACGCGGGGCGTACGTCGTCAACCCATGGATCAGGGTTTCCACCCAGTACGCGCAGCGTACTGGGAGTTATGCCCGACGTAACCACCAGACTTTAGCATACATCATTTCTAGTCTTAATCGGTTAAGCCATTACTCCAACTTCTAGATCCGGCTTTATTTATGCATCTATACCCATAAAGTCGAGTCCTTTAAGCCTTGGCATGGTAGTAAAGGCTCCAACACTTCTTAACATCATTCTATTCCAACTCAAGGACCTAGATCTCATACATGGTTCAACATTCACGCCCAAGATTACATTTTTATGAGTCTACAACTCAAATAGACCAGAAATATGATGGATCTAAGCTTATGGAGACCATTTGCTCAAAAAGTCTCCACCTTTGGGACTAAAACCCTAGAAAATGGTACTTGAAGCACATAACATGAACTATATGTCAAGATCCGAAATTTTTACCTTATAATGAAGCTTCAACCTTTGCAAAGCTCAGATCCACACTTGAACACCACTTTTAGCCTTCCCAATGAGCTCTTCTTCTCCTTTGGTACCTTGAAATGGCACCACCAAGCTTAGACTACTCACAAATGGCCTAAGAACAGATGCACACTCTCTTTAGGGTTTCTTTTTGAGGGATGGTGGCTATGGAGTCGAGCCACACATCCCTTTTATAGCCATCCGAAATAATTAAGGTTTTTAGGTCTAGACCGGTTACGCCCAACGTACCCGAGGGTGAACGCGTCCAAATGAAGCGTGCGAGTACGCACAGTGTACTCCTTGTACGACCAACGTACTTGCCTAACATGCAAACCCTAAATGGAACAAATCAAAAGATGAAGGGCTAAATAGAAGGGTACCTGGATTTCGGGCTGTTACAATTCTCCCCCACTAGAACCAGACTTCGCCCCCGAAGTCTCACACTGAAAACAATTCCGGATACTTATCCCGCATCTCAGTCTCGGACTCCTATGTCAGCTCGGACCCCTTCCGATGTTGCTACTGCACTTGTACCAAGGGTACTTCCTTGTTCCTCAGAACCTTAACCTTTTGATCCCTGATCGCCACTGGTCTCTCAACATTGTTCAGGCCTACATCCACCTGAATATCATCTAATGGCACCACTGCCGACTCGTCGGCAATACATTTCCTCAATTGCGAGACATCAAAGGTGTTATGGATATGTCCGAACTCAGCAGGTAGATCCAACCGGTAGGCTACCCTGCCTACCCTAGCAATTACCCTGAAAGGTCCAATATACTGGGCTCCCAACTTGCCCCTCTTCCTGAATCGTATCACTCCTTTCCAAGGAGAGACCTTTAGGAGCACAAGGTCACCAACCTGAAACTCGAGCTCGGAACGACGCCTGTCCGCATAACTCTTCTGGCGACTCTGCGCGGTCAACAATCTCTGCCTGACCTGCTATATTTGCTCGGTCGTCTGAAGTACAATCTCCGTGCTACCCATCACCCGCTGCCCCACCTCTCCCCAGCAGATGGGGGTGCGACACCTCCTCCCATACAACAGCTCAAAAGGTGGCATACCAATGCTCGAATGATGGCTTTTGTTGTACGAAAACTCTGCTAAGGGTAAATAGGTGTCCCAAATCCCTCCAAAATCCAAAACACATGCTCGGAGCATATCCTCAAGTGTCTGGATCGTCCGCTCGCTCTGTCCGTCCGTCTGCGGGTGGTATGCGGTACTGAAATGCAGCCTCGTACCCAACTCCTCATGAAACTTCTTCCAAAACCTGGAAGTAAATCGTACATCCCAATCTAAAATGACCGACATCGGAACCCCATGCCGCGATACCATCTCCATGACATATAACTCTGCCAACTTTTCCGCAGAAGAGCTCTCACTGATGGCTAGCAAATGAGCGCTCTTCGTCAATCTATCCACAATCACCCAAATTGCATCGACCCCCCTTGCAGTCCTTGGCAATTTGGTGATAAAATCCATGGTAATCTATTCCTACTTCCATTCGGGAATCTCCAGCGGCTGCAATTTACCGTGCGGACGCTGGTGCTCGACCTTAACCTGACGACAAGTCAGGCACCTCTCGACGAACCATGCAACATCCCTCTTCATACAGGGCCACCAATACTCCTTCTTTAGGTCCAAATACATCTTAGTAGCCCCAGGATGAATCGAGAATTTCGATCGATGCGCTTCCTCCATCAAAATAGTACGCGTACCGCCCACAAACGGTACCCAAATCCGACCCTGAAAAGTCATGAGTCCCCATCCATCCGTAACAAATTCTGATACCTGACCGACAACCCGCTCCCTCTTTTGGTTTTCTGGTCTCGCAGCCTCAGCCTGAGCTCCTCGGATGGTGTCCAAAATCGGAGTCATCACCATCAACCTCATACAAATGTCTCGGATCAGGGCGCTTTCCGCCCTATGGCTTAACGCATTGGCCACTACATTCGCCTTTCCCGGGTGGTATAGGATCTCACAATCATAATCCTTCACCACATCTAACCATCTCCTCTATCACATATTCAGATTTGGCTGATCCATCAAGTACTTCAGACTCTTGTGGTCCGTGTATATGGTACACTGAACCCCATAAAGATAGTGCGGCCAGATCTTGAAGGCAAACACCATAGCCCCCAATTCTAGGTCGTGGGTGGGATATCTCGACACATGAGGCTTCAGTTGCCTTGAAGCATATGCTATAATGTGTCCCCTCTGCATAAGCACCGCCCCTAATCCAGATATAGATGCATCACAGCATACCACAAAATCCTCCATTCCTTCCGGGAGTGCAAGCACCGGGGCCTTGCACAATTTTTGACGAAGGGTCTCGAATGAGGACTGCTGCTCCGGTCCCCATGAAAATGCAATACCCTTCCGGGTAATGTTCGTAAGTGGCACGGCGATCTTGGAGAAATCTTTGATAAATCTTCGATAATAGCCGACCAATCCTAGAAAGCTCTTGATCTCAGTGGGTGATCTCGGCACTTCCCATCTCATCACGGCCTCGATCTTGGCCAGATCGACCAATATCCCTTTCTGGTTAACAAGGTGCCCTAGGAACTAGACCTCTCGTAACCAGAAATCACACTTGGAGAATTTGGCATACAGCCTCTCCGATCTCAATACTCCAAGAATTTCCCTCAAATGCTCCTCATGCTGCTCCCTAGACCTCAAATATACCAAAATATCATCAATGAATACGATCGCTGACCGATCCAACATCGGCCTGCACACCCTGTTCATAAGATCCATGAACGCAGCCGGGGCATTGGTGGGCCCAAAAGGCATCACCACAAACTCGTAATGTCCATAACGAGTTCTGAATGCAGTCTTCTGAATATCTTCATCCCGAACCCTCATATGATGATAACCCGAACTCAT